CTGACTCTTTACGACCCTACAAAGTCATTAGGAAAAATTCACTAAGATTTCATTCAGATGGTCATTAGAGAGCCAAGGCACATTTTGAGTCAGCGCAGGTAACTATTAATCGTTCGCAAGTCATGGTGTTCATGTAAAAAGTTGCACTTCGTGCCAAGGTTTTAGGTTGTTATCTTGCACCAAAAATGCTAAAAAGTATCTGAGAATATCTAAGTAAGCGCTTTACATTTATTTTATAATTTTTGTAAGCGAACCTGCAACAAGTGCTCTATTCTTCATTATAGAGATTTTATCTGCAAGAAAAGTGAAGATCGAGTTAAAAGAGTTGAAAATAACAACTGTTAGCAGGCACATCAATTTGCCAGAAATTCCTCTCACTTAGAAAGAGTAAGTCCTAGACCATAATCGAAAAATGAGGTTTTTTGAATTGTATGAGCATTTTTAGAAACAGTTCAAAAAATGCAATTTAATTTCCTTTCTTCATTCCTGTTTACCAAGTGGAAATTTTGCTTTGAGCATTAATGGGAGAAGCATGATTTTATTCGGCTATGGAATTTAGCAAATTCGTTAAAGTCTGAAGAATTTCATGTCTGTTCAAAATTCATGCGGAATTATGGAGCAACCTAACATCTGCTGTGAATAAGCGGAAGAGAAAATTCTTATCTTTAGGAACACTATTATCGAACACCTAATGATTTAAGACCTTTCAAGTAGAAGCTGCCCCTCTGATATAAATCATGGCACAGTCAGCATGTTGTTCGGTTCAAAGGCCGGGGACTAACTGTCTCTACGAAATGTGTAGTTGTAGGTCGAATAGACAACAATATGGATTTCCTTAACTGACGCATAATGGCTAAACAAGGTAATGGCATCAATTAGCAGGCGCCTGTTCCATGCCCTCCTAAAGCATAGATAGTGATCTTGTAAGAATACTGCCTCTAACAACTGTGATTCGTCTTCTCCAAGCTTTTTATGCTCACGGGAAAAAAGTTGTTTTGGCGTGGAGGGTATTCACGTGCAATCGCTTTTTTCTTTTTCGTGCCAAGCGATGCCTTCCCAGGCATCAACCATTGTGCATAAAATAAGTGATGGCTGTCAAAGCGACTGGCCTATCCAGTTCGATTATTTTTGGCAAGTAGAATGGATCACAGCATTTAGGAAGAAACATTTATGCCTGCGTGATGGTGCACGGGCGTGTTTCCCTCACAATTTCCTTATATCTTCGTATATCAAAGGTGAATATTGTTTCTTAGCAGTGACTGCATTATTGTTAAGTCTTCCTCATATGTTTGATCGCATTTGGAAAAGAAGTCAGAGTTGCCATCTCATACAACTCATCATAATAACAAATATTGTTGTATACTACGGTCTTCGAATTGCATTGAATTGCTCTCTTTTCAGTTTAAAGCAATTTAAGTGGATAAAACCATGTCTTTGGGATAAAATCATCATATCAGCAGTGTTAACATCTAACCATGACAAATATGTAAAGATGGAGCAGTATTATGTATTCGTTTTCAAGAAATCAAGCGTGAAAAGTATTACAAATCCCAAGGGGTTCGGCACATATTTCTCCGGGTTTGTTGAATATAGACGAACCTAGATGCTTTATTCTAGTCATCAACTTACTCAAGACACCGTTTACCCAAATTGAGGGAAACGATATTTGATTATGATGTCATATAATAGAGGGGCCCCTAACTAAGCCATTGCCGAAGTTTCGCTGCCAAAGGAGTTCCGAAGCGAGAAAACCGATCCAGAAGGTGGAAGCTCTGCGTTGGCTCCGCCCATCAACGTGGGTGATCTGAAGATAAATAGCCCAACATTGGACTTAATGTATATAAAGTTGCCATGAATCTGCCCTTCATTATGATTATCAGACTTCCGACATCTCTCTCTATCCTCATGCTCGATTTTGGATTTTTTGTTCTCCTAACCACGTTGGTGGGCGAGGCCAGCGTGAAGCTTCCACCTTCTGAATCGGTTTCCCCGCTTCGGAATCCACATTTTGCAGCGGAACTTGGGCAATGGCTTGGATCACTACGTTCCGTTTGGATGAAGGGTGCCTTTGAGCGATTCAGAGTAGCAAATTTTTAAATCAACGATGGAAATCACCGTACCTGCTGAATTTGCGGCAGGAACAGTTTGAGCTAATATGTGTTCCTATATGTATCGTCGGTGAGGTGGGAGCAGGGCCCGGCACAGATGGTTTGGGGTCAAACTGGACTTCGTTTTTGGAGTTGGAGGCAACGGGGATATCGTTTTTATAAGGTCCTGGAGGAAGCGCCAAAAAAACGACGAACATGTCAGGTTTCACGAGTTGAACGTGTTCTTTCGCAAGCGCGCGAATTTCAAACGCAGTACTCAAACAAACAAATAGCTTGTTTACAGCGCACAAACAATCACATGATTCCAAATTTGGAATATTTGTATACAATATTACTCCAAACCTATTTTATGTAAAAAGTTCCAAAAACTTATGTGTCCTAATATGCGTTCCCGATCTTGTTGGTTTCTAGACCAACCTTCAAACCAACTGGGTTGGTTCGGAGCATAAATATCGGAGAGTTTACATAAGTTTTGGATCTTTTTGATTTGGACGATTAGAACGGTTAAAAATCTATCATATCTATCATATCGTGAAGAGAGCGAATCAAATTACTGCCTCTCCTCTTTTTTCGAGGCAAAAGTAGTGTAATCCTACGCCTTGAGAGATATCGCGCTCCAATCACATGCGGTGTCCTTTGAACTAAGTGGCGAAAAATGCATCGCCGGATTGTTGAGGCCACAGATTTGGTTGGCCTGGGAGGTTTTCGACATTCCGAGCACTAAAATGGTACTTTACCCAACAGCAGAGCCTTTAATGGATTCGAAATGTTTTCTTTTTGCTTTTTTGTTATACTAGATGATTTAAAATGCTTTTTTTCGCTTTTATATTGTTATTTTGGTTAGGTGGGGGTTTTCCTACCGATTTTTACGTCAAAAGGGACTTCGTAAATTTTCGCGAAGTCATAGGGGACTTCGTTTCCAAAAAAGCTCCAAACCAACGCGTGCCAGGCCCTGGGTGGGAGCTTCCTTTGTTGCAAAACCATTCACTAATGGTTTTTCTTGTCTCTTACGTATTCATACTAAACGAAGCTAACTGTCCTGTGCTAGACCGTTTTTAAGACTACGTTTAGGACTGATAGGATTTATAGGAATTTTTTTTATTTCAAGTTTTCATGAGCTTACACGCTATCAGCTGGACTGATAATCATAAGGTGTAAATGTATATCTTACAGTTGGCTTTCTTTCAAAACTTCGGTAATAAGCTAAGTGGAACGGTGGAACGTCTTACAACGTTCATTGGTACAAACTAATTCAAACATACGTCACGGAAAGCCTCCCCCCTCCCCACTCTTGCCCCAAAATGCCGTGAAGAGTGCTGAGACGTGTATCATGCATTATCGTTTTTTTATCGTTTCCTGAACAGCTGTCCAAGACCGTGCTATAAGTAAAGTACAATCGATCCCGGCTAAGACAGCTTTCAGTATTTCTTCTTGGAAAGTCCCCTTGAGCTTTGTTCTTGAGGTCTGTTTTCACAAAAACTCTCTGTTCTCTACAAGCACAGAATCAATGTCTCTAACTTGCATGATTCATTGGCCATGGCCAAAACAACACGCAATTGCTTGACTTTACCCACGTGACGGTTCTATAAGTGCATTATTATAGGCTTAGGCAGAGATAAATTTGGTGTTTGCATTGATGTTGACACTGTTACGCAGTGGAATCTCATATTCTTTTTCCCAAGTATTTCTTAGGGGTTTTTGTGCTAGGTGTTTGAGACGTCAAAGTATCAAGATTGATGGATCCCCTCTAGATCTTATCTTATGAGCGAAGGGCAAGAATTTTTTTCCCACCAGCCATTCCGGGTTAGGAGCGACCATACCTGTCTCTGTTAAGTTTGTGTTCTATTCATAAACTGTGCTTAGGATTTCGCAAACTTCGATTTGTTTAATTGTTTATCACTTCTTTGTTCGTTCCGCATTTATCTGGTCTCAGCAGCTGTCTCCATCCAATATAATTGTAGTGCACACTATAAATCAGGTCCAGGAGATGGCAAGGCTCATGACTGACTTGCACCCAGCTTGTTCTTTACACAATTTCAGTCGCAAAGTGCAATGGTCATCGCGCCCCAAGTGATAGTAAAGCAATGCTTGTCAAGAAAAATGCAAAGTTCTTGTCCTGTACTTCTAATAAAAATGACCACAAACTCTAGCAATTAAGAGTACAGTGGGAGAAGTGTGAAAAACGATAAAATTTTACCTATAAATATAACGTCTGCGGCTTAGAATCATTGCGATATTCATTCTCAGATATTTTGATAACCTCAAATATGCAAAACTCGACCTTTCATTGTTTTTACATTGAATAATTAGAATAAATTTTAAAAATCGTCAAAAATTTGAATTCGCCTTTTGAAATTTTAGGAGACGTGGATACCAGCAGCGTTTTTTGCTAAAATTTCAAGCTTATGAGCCTGCAAGGAATCCGAAAAGGCTTTAAAAATTTTACGAAAGGCGTGACTAACTCTATGTACGCCTCTTCAATCGAAAAAACTTCTTGTCCCACTCCTTTCCCCCGTCCGCTTCTTCGAAAAGAAATTGCTTGGACCACCAGCGATGACTAGATTTTCAAGGGAAATCAACCATATTCGCATGAAGATTTCGTTCTTGGAATGCATTGAAAACTAAACTATTTTACAAACTCTCAGGAGCATATTATGTGAAATTGGAAGGATGAAAGTCAAAAAATTCCTGTATGCAACCAACAACTGCATTTAGCTTTGCTAGAAAGACAAATACTGTAAAATTTTGCTGAATTTCTATGCTCTCAATCAAAACGTGAATATGCAAAACCTCGTGCTCTGCTAAACTGTGTACCATGTACTCTGTTACCCTCTCTCGCAAAGTGCGATCGCTCGAGTTCTTTGTGCGTTTACTCAAAATTTGTCTGATGTTGCCCTTCAGCTCTTCTGAAACCGGTATCGGCAGTGTGTTGCCAAGCACTGCCCACGGATACTCGCAGTAGCGCAAGTCGACAAAATAATGGCACAAAAGTGAGTTTTGAATTTTTCAAGTGTTACTGTAATGTCACGGTCTTTAGACTATCTCTGTGACAGCTTTCAGGGCTCTACGAGTTGCTAACGGACTACAGCTCGCCTTGACGAAAGAATGCTTGCAAAAAGCTGCCGAGGGTTTCAAGCAGAATCCGAGGCAGCTGCTGTTCTATAATCCCATAAAATATGAAGTTCGTCATGCTTTTCCTGCATCGAAGTTTTCTCTCTATTCTCAAGAAATTAATGGTACCACTTATTGGTTAGGAAATGTCAGCAATAAGCTCACCAGGTTGGGCAATTTAGCACTAATCTCCCTATGTTCTAAAAAAAATCTTGATTTTTCTAGAGATACACCCGTTTTCGCATATAGTGGCGAGTACAACGAAAACGATTTCCTCCAAGCTTTTGAAGAATTCAAAGACACCAACGAACTTTTCAAAAGAAGAACGGTACCAATGATGGTCGGAGAGAAAAAGATCACAGATACGGTAAGCATGAAATTTGCCAAATCCGTATGGACGTTCTCTGTGTTCCACGAGTATCTAAAGTCTTAATGCGATGAGTTTTTTGCTCTTTAAAAACGCGTGAAGAGGTGTATTGTCGTAAATCATTTATGACATTTTTCACTTCAAATTTAGATTCAGATCGTCACGATCGCCATCTTTTTGTGGAAGAGTTCAAAGTAAATAGAAGTTGGGAAAATTTGTTTTCAGTAGCAAAAAATGTAGTAGGAACGAATTAACTGATCAACAAAAATTGCTGTGTTTACCTTAGCATTAATGGACACAAATCATATCACGGGGTTTCCCTCGTTTTTGGATACTGTGGAACTAATAATCAAATGTAATGCGATGGACTTTGCTTTTCGGCCACGTATTTTTCTGGCAGAAAACCTTATCTCAATCTCAAAGTAAATAATGCCCATACGAACAGTCTTCTCAAAAATCTTGAAGGGAAAGAGAAATTGCGAAAAAATCGGCCACTCTCTTCAAAAACTGATCAGACTTATTTGGAAAGCGTATAGTTTTGGAAATTTGAAAGAAAAATGACCATCGCCTTATGAAAAATTTAAGCTGATCGGAATTTTATAGTAACAGTAATTTTAATCATTGATGAAAAATACTTTTTTACATACTTTTTGGAGATCAAATAATTACCATCCTGTGCTATCTATTCAAAATCTTTGCCTTCTTCCTTGCATCCAACACATTTTTGTACAATTTTAAAGTATCACAACTTTAACCGACTTTCAAAAAATAATATTTTCAGATCTACGCCTATGTTTCTCAACATGACGACAATGTCGGCAAACAAAGCTACCCGTGCTACCTATTCTATATGACCGATGAACAGATGAAGAAGATCATGCAAGAAAGGTTGCACGTTCCTGAAGGCTACACCATCGGTAGAGTCGCTCTGCTTCAGAGTTATCTACTCTTCAAGATGAATGAACTGAATAAACTTTAGGGACTCCAAATTTGGAGCAAGAAGCCCGCTGCATGACTGGTACATGGAGCTATGGCGATGATGGTGACATCGAGTTGACAAGGTAAATTTACTTAGACGTTGCGCGGGACCTTAATTCTTGCCAAGGGCAAGTGGAATCTCAACAAAATAAATAAAGAGGGAAGTATGCGACTGGGACCAAACTGTATGCTGTGACGTTGCTGGGGCAAAACTTTGATCATCAGTTTTGTTTTTGTGTTGCTGGAGAAGACAAAATGATAGTATTTTCAAAATAAAAATACCGTGACGTCGCCATCAATCATTTTGGAGTGAAGTAAGAGAGCCACGTGGAAACTGGGAACTACAATTTTTGATCAAATTGAAAAATTTGTTTGCGCATCCTTGAAGAACAATCGATGTATTGGTTTGGGGAAAGAAAAGTTACGAATATTCATTATATATGGTTTTCGGAACACGTGCCATGTTTTTCGCCTGTACAACATTCTAAAAAGTTTCAGATTTCTGTCTGCTTGCATTCCAAAGTAAATTGTTTAGAAAACTGATTTATCACTCAAAGATCAATAGATAGAAGTTGACACCAAAAGTCTAAAATATCACAGGTTTTTGCGGCTAAGGCATCAACTGCGCGTAAATGGCAGCGACATCCCTAAAGGCCCGAGCATACTTCACGCGATTTCAGTCACGACGCGATTTGGCAATATTCCAAGGGTCCGTCCATAACTCATTGTAGGCTTATCAAATGGCAGAATATAGGTCACTATCAATTTACATAAGTTATACGCGCTATACATATGCAGTTTGCTAGTGTTGGTTCTGAAGACTTCTGGCGAATTGCCAAATCGCGTCGCGAGTAAAATCGCGTGAATTAAGCCCGGCCCTCAACTTTCGCGCGCCTATGGCCATTTCCGCGCAAGCGTTGTCGGTACCGCATGTTCACTTCTTTATTGCAAACTGAGGTTCATCAAATTTTTGCTCTCAACTACGTGTTTTAGGGAAAAAATCCGCCGGCTTCCCTCTGTATGCGTTCGTAAGGATGGTCAAATGGTTGGCTTCTACATGCTAGAATCACTTGGGTGGTTGAACCACCACTTTGTATTCAACGAGCATCGCGGAAAAGGACTTGGTAAGCTGCTAGAGTTGGCACAAGTCCAGAACTGTATACGGTAAGTAGCCTTTAGTTTTTATCACATTTTTAACACTTATCACATCTCAGTGCGGGTATGAGAGTATACAAGCTCGTGGAGTTGAGCAACCTGCCAACAGTCGAGGCATCAAAACGATCACCATATTGGACACTTGCCAAGGATGAAAACGGCCAAGAGATTATCGTCGAATACATGGATATGTACAAATAAGGGTGTATATAGGTATAAATATGTGGATTATACTATTTCATTCCTATTGACCACAGGAAGGGTGAGCGAGAAAACCGCTGAGCACAACGTTGAGGAAGCATGCTTCTGAAATAGGGCAAAATATATTTTGAGCGATTGAATAAACAAAACTTACGGATCTATGCATGAATTACAAGATCTTCGACAATTTTCCAGCATCCATTTGTTCTTGGTACATTGTCCTCCTCTCGACCATTTATAGCAATCGCGGTGATAATCTTCACATTCTAAAAAAAAATTCATTTTGTATGACAAATGATATTGTTGATTTCTTTACCTCCATAGAAGTAATCTGGTGTACATTGCTCACAGCTTACACGACATTGGCAAAGCATGAAGTCAGGATTTGTTATACATCCACCCTTAACAATGGTATTACATTTAGGCACAAGATGAGCTAATTGTGGATTTTACGATATGTTTACGCCAAATGGTCATTTATTATGTATCATGGTGAAAGGCATAAGAACTATCTGGTAGTACAAAACTCTTCTTCTCAATGTCTATAATTTGAGTCCAATTCAAAACTTCTTCACAAATATCAATCAAATTAAGGAGTCATGCTCACTCCCACTGAATAATGTTACGCTGTAAGTATATAATCGAAAGCTCATAAAAAAATTTACTCATGCGGAAATGTATTGTAATATAATAGATCTTTTTTGGAAAAAACATGAGGGAAGTGAGAGTTTCGCAACATGATTGCTTCCCTCAAAGTTTCTAACAATAAGAAGTATACCGATACCCAAAGCTAAAATTCCCTCCTGAAAAATTTTACTGGTTCATTATGACTACAGTTATGCAAGTTCATCAAGTAGAACCTCGGACTTTCTGTTTGAATTCAAGGTATTCAAATGGATTATACGATATTAAGAAATAGCGAAGCTAACTCTCAATCCTCCTTACCACATAAGCCCAGTACGGACAACATATATCCTCGTTGAAGCACATAATCGAGTTGCAATTTCCGAGTGTTGCTAAAAAAATAGACGTAGAATTGAGACAGATTGTAGCTGGAAAGCTCCCAAATTTTGTTTGATCATACTCTATTGACTCACTTCCAGTACCCTGCGCAGGTGCAGGTGTAGGTCGTGCAGGTGCAGGCGTGGGTCGTGCAGGTGCAAGTGTAGGTGTAGGTGTAGGTCGTTTTGGTGGAGGTGGTCTGGTAGTACGTACTAGAAAAATCCAACTTTTGGCAAAGTGATTATAAGATCAATTAAATAGTCTTCCTACCCAGATTGCTGCTTCTACCTCCGCCGCATGCAGCTGCTCTAGTAATTCCACATTTATTACATGCACTGCGGCAGTTTTCCGCCATCCACAGAGGATTTTTGGTGCATTCGCCAAGTCTTGCCCACCCAAAGCAATTCGAGTGACGATCCGAACATTCTGTAACACCTATGTATGGTTCTGGAAGCGATCGAATGAACTTGCGATACCGTAGCACTGTGACTCAAGGTAAAATGATACACAGAGCAGAAATACTCACCGTTGTTCAGATCATAAGTCGGTTGGCACACCAAGCACGAGGCCTTGCACCACTCGCTCATGTAGGCGCGGTTTTTCGGACATTCTCCAGTACGAGACCAATGTGAGCAGCATTCGTGCTCGTTGAAGCATGTTTGCTAGAATATTCTATTATAGATCACACTAAGCAATGAAGCTGAGTTCCTGTTTTCTGGATGGTTTGATGCCACAGTTTGCGGGGTTAATCTGTAGCTCTGATGTGGTGTGGAAACCACGCGCTGAAGCGGTAGAGATGTTCGAAACTTCAATTGCGTCCAAAGTCGTTCGTGCCACTGCCGTTCCAGCGTCACATCGAACGTACCGGGCCGACTGATGAATACGCATTGCGCATACGTGGTTTCTGGCACGATACAGCACAACGCTGGCGCGGCGCTGAAACGTCGTTGCCACACGAGCAACTGTGGAGGCAGCCTTACAGCCAATGCTGCTCCGAACAGTTACGCCCTATTCCCGCCTGGCGTGTGTGCTGGGTTGTTCACATCCCTTCCATCTCCTCCCTCCAAAAGTCCACGCACTACTTGCACTTTATTCAGTAGTCGTTCACTCTCAACTTAAGCCATGTTGCCATAAGATACCCGAGAGTGTTCCTTCGTCTCCCTTTAAATTGTCGATAGCACCTTTTTGAGCTTATATAGCATTTTGCAACCCAAATGTGAACTGAAAGCTAGAAAAAAATTCAACTATGTTCGAGAAATTGCAATCTTGCCGTACTGGACTTCCAAGCTCTACAATAATAGGCAGGGCTGTTTCAGAAATTTGGAAGTCGGAATTAGTTGATATCCCACTTTCTATAACACTTGAAATTGAAAGAACAAACCTGGACCACCACTACTGGTTTTGCAGGAGCAATTGGTGGCGGTGTAGTCGCCTGCTGTGCGGCGGCTACAACGCACCGCCCATTCATACATCGTCCATTATAGCAAGCGTTCTCACCTGAATTTTAATTGATAATGCCTTGCTTTTGTTTTAAATCTTAGCAAACGCCGCATTCAGAATTGCCAGTACCGTTATTGTGCCAGCGCCAAAGCTACGACCACCTGAAGAACCCCGCTCAAATATGAAACATTGCGCATTTAGCCGATTTCCAACTACTAGACCAAGCGTCAATACCGCGCCGCTGACCCCTGACTTGGGCAATGTCTGTATTATTTTCTCGTAGAATCTATAGCCCCTTTGAAATTTGTTATAATTCTTAGCTGCGGCAATACTTTTCCATCTAGTCTATTGCAGCTGAGAACAAGCAGGACCAACCGTTGTTGAGCCCTGCGCAGCTTCCACCTGGTTTAATTTTTGAGGCACATCTCGGCTGACCATGAGATCTATCGCAGTAGAGGTACCTCAAAAAATATTCTAAGACATCACAACGGAGAGTGAATTATTAAGAATCTCACTTTGATCCACAATCATTGCCCATTGAGCAGCTTGGTCGTGGTGCGTATGAATAAAGATTATCTAAAAATAATGCTGTCTTTCCCGCTATTTTTGTCTGAGCCTCACCTGTGTACATATTTGAAAGTCCATCAGTGTTTTTCATAGGTGCGAAAGGTCGCATGGAAGTGCTGCCGAAGTGATGTTGACTCGCGCACAGCTCATTATTTACCGGATAAGCGCGCTCACGATCAGCGCGAGTCTGTAATAAATTTTACCGTGTAATAAATTTTACCGAGAACTATTAGGTTGGAAAAAAGTTCTCGGACATCGTTTCCGACCTTTCTAGAGGGCTGTGACCCCAGAAATCTCTGGAATTTTTTTCTATTTTTTCATTTAGTAAAAACTGGAAAGTCCCGCCTCAAGTGCTTACAGCTCTGGTCTAGATACTTGAAGCGCAGAGGAAAATTTTGACATTATTTTATTTGGAATTATAACCATTAAATGGTACCGATAATCAACTTTGTTTGGACCCCAATATCTCTACTTCCGCAATCGTTAGAAGAAAGCCTTACTGTTAATTTTGTAGGTCCGTTCGGCATTTTTTTTTACCTATGTTAACATGAAAATATCTTGCCAAATGAGCTCTCGTCAAAATAAGGAATAAAGAAAAGCTGCTGAGGCTTACTTCATGGGTGCTTGAAAAATCTGAACAGATCAAGTTAACAACCAGCGAAACTGAACTTGAGCTAACTTATTAGGTGTTTTTTTTGTTTTATTCTTTGTATTTGTTCCTGGTTATGTTCTCTGTATTTTGCTCTACTTATGGCACGCCTTGCGCGTAATAAATAAATTATGATAAATAAACATGTTATGGAGAATATGAATAGCGTTTTCAGTTAGCACGCAAAGTTACTAGACACTAAAAAGAGAACGGTTGATTTCAGAACCCACTTATAAGAACTTGCATTGATTTCCGCACAGCCTGTTATTCGACTAAAGTATGTATGCCGCTTGCGGGCAGAATGAAGATCATACTAGTTTAGCCTAATTTATCAATTAATTAATGCTGACTATCAACCCCTCTATGTAAGAAAATCCTGCAGTTTATTACCGCATACCAATAAAGCAAATTTATTTTCTAACGTGTGTTATGAGCTGATAAAGATTTCGGTAAACTTCAAAAAAGCCTGTACCTGTCTTGTTTGCCTAAACATCTCCCATATGCAGTCGACAAACGAATGATGCATAAAGAATATCGGATCATTCGCAGATGTCTGCGTATCGAACATCTCTCCTCCGACATAGATATGCGCATTACCGTGTGTGTACTCAAGAACATTATAATTCGGTTGGGAGGGGCATCCCTAAAGCAAAATTTGATCAGATAAAATTTTCTCTCGGCGTTTGGGGTGCTTACTGGTCTAGGTGCTGAGAAGGCGAGCACTTGGTTGATGTCCGTCTGGCGCAGAGTAAACTGTATCTCATCTTCCGAAAAACATTTTCCTCTAGCTCCAACTTCACGGCGAATATTAGGTCGAGCCTGGAGGCAGTCATAGCAATATTCACTTGGCAACTTGATGATGGAATTAGTACCTCCAAAGTCCTCCATTCTCTGAATGATCCACCATTTACGCTTCCACCAGCACTCTCTCCCATGAACTCGTTGGTCCATAGTATCGAGTCTTTCGAGTTGGGCATATTCTCTTCCAGTGTGGAGTCCCAATACGGTAGAGCAAGATCAGGATCGACTTGACGTATTGCAATCTCAACTCTGGAAGTATCCGTCAGCCAATTCTAACCAACTTATCGTGGATGTCGATAAGCATTAACGGAAGAAAACTGTTGAAATGAGGTCGACGTTAACATCATGCGCACAAATCAAAAATCCGTTACTTGTTCCCAATTTTGCAAAGGATTAAAAAACCAAAAAACCAAAGTTTTCAAAAGCAAGGCCTAACAGAAGAATTTTGCCGCTTTATTCAATACCTTTTCATGTACTCTCTGTGCCATGGCAGAAATGCAGGTCCCGAATGTGCACCACCGCTACCAGAGAACTGCGAATGAATTGTCGCCAAACGATCGTACTCGCCGCTAAATCACTGTTTGGATTTTTGGAAAAAAATTCATATAGAGTAATTTAGAATAAGCTGAACCGCGATGAGATGTATCCCTTTGGCAGAATTTGAAAACTCCAAAAGTTGCTAAACTAGACAATTACTTGGCAAATGGCAATTGTGCCATTCTGAATACAGTTGAGGAGGCAATTTAGCTAACTACAACACCGTAAAGTAGCGAGGCATTTAAATTTTAAAAATTGCTCTCAACAAAAGCAAAAGTACTAATCACAAAATTAAACTAATAATTAGAGTAAGTAGCCTCAAAAAATGGCTGCGTGTCATTGAACGCAGCATCTTGAAAAGGATGCCTCATGGAATCGAAACAGCGATCTTCTGTTTACTAGACGCTCTGCCCCTGAGCCAATGAGGCGCATGAACGGAATTCCAGCGACTCTTTTTGGAGAAAACTGCTAAATTTAACAGAATTTACTTGTTTTTCATGGTCCTGAATGCCGCATGCAGTCTGGCTCTTTCATTGTCACTGAGTTGTCGGTACTCTTTCCGTAAAGCTTTGCGCAAGGGTCTTCCTTGTACTGTGCAAGAAGTTCCGCCAGTGCCTAAGAAGAATTTCCTTTTTGGATGAAAAAAAAACTTCTCATACCTCTGAAAAACACGCATAAACATGCGATATCCATGCACTGGTACATGTTGCTAGCTATGGGAGCAAATTCCGCAGCCAATTGTGTCTTCCCGGCTATGGCAGGTGGCATGACGGAAGTGGGTGGTGGTGCCTTCTGAAAATAATAGATTTTGTCAATTGCTCAAGAAGTGTGATGTTATGGATGGATTGTTGCATAATTATGTTACACTTTCTTCTTCTTCTCCTGATAAATTTTAGGAAATTCTGCAAATTTTCGCGTGCGGCACACATAGGGAAGATATGAAAGGCATCACTTTTCGCCTTTACGGACTTGAGCTACTGTGAGCAAATTATATGCAGATCTTCAAAGGCATTCAGACCTATATGTTTTCTTTTTTAAATCTTTCGTTCTTCTTTTTCATATATTCAGATTTTTATGATCCGGGGGTATTAGCAGTAATACGGAGTCAATTCGGATGTTACACTCTCCAATAACGCGTTGGAATATTGTCAAAAATTTCGAAAACTTTTCAAATTACAAATAGCTTTTATGTGTGACATGTTTGTATTGAAAGCCTACAACACTCCACATAATTCGATAACAAGGAAAAGTTTTCTTGAATGTAACAAAACTTTGTAACTACCTGTATTTGGAAGAACTTACCCTAGCGCTGTCATCCCATCGTGCTATCTGTTGACAAACAATCCGCAAAGCTTCCGTTGGTGCAGTGCTACAGTCCAAAGAAATGACCACTGCCAGTTGGCCCAATACGGTAGCCAAGAAGAGCATAGAGTTTAAGCCGCGTATGGCTGCCGATGCGGGTTTCTAAGCTAAAAAGAGGGAGGAAGAACCTAGTTAATAAAGTGACTCAGAAAAAGTTGACGTGTTGAAATTTATGGGCCAAAAAACCCGTTACAGACAGATAACCGAAACGAAACAAGGCTGCTGGGCGAAGAGTGTAGCATAGTGACGGTGGTGATTGTAATACTGTTCCGTATGACATCAAGCAACGAACCAATTCGACCAAGGTCAATTAGTCAGCACAGAGTTTCTTGCTGGGATTTTATCAAGTTCAACTCCCTTATGTAGAGGGTTAGGAACCCACAATACTCTTTTCGGGGTCTTACAGATTCTCAATCTGCAAATTGCAAACAAATTATGGTAATGATGTGATCGTGTTACAAAATAACGGTTTTGACACTTATCTAGTACAGTTCGAAGATCAGTGATTGAGCGAACGCACGCTTCATTGCACTCCGAACTTGGGTCTAGAAAGGACCGCATAGTCGGTGCGACCTCGTTCATGCGTTGAAATAAATTTCTTATTGCGGAAAGTGTTTCGAAAGGCGTGCAGCTGTTGTGTAAAACATCTTGAAGTGAAATTTGCTTGTCAAGAGAGAAACTACTAGCGATATTGAGCTAGTACTCGTAGCTCAGAAAAAATATTACTTACATGGTATTTAGTTCACCTGTCGTGGCAGCAGGTAGCGCGGGTCCCGCGACTTCACAGTAACTGCTTCTTTTACTTGGCAATTGAAGCATGATAAAGCAAGATTTCGGTTACCATGCGAAGAAAATTTTTCGCGAAGTTCAGGAATGAAAATGTGGGAATTTTGGGTGTGCGCATGGTACTAGGAATACGGCTATCATTGAGCGAATGAAAACGGAAAATTCTTCTAACAAGGGAACGATCCCAATTAAGGTGGCGAATTGGAATGAACCGCATACCGTTAGATGCGTCTTGATGAGCTGATTCCAAATCTGTCTTCCGTATCTGCGACACCGTTATCTGCAAAAAGTTATGAGCGGTTGAAACTGTGAACTTACCAGGGTTTTAATGCATAATATGCTTTGAAATCCAACTTGGAAGTGCACGACTAGCACGATATCGATTGTACTGATTCCAGGGAATGCTCAGTTTCTAAAGAAATACAGACAAGTGTTTTTGAACAACTAATTTCGAGGTATGGCGCTGTACATTTGCCAAATTTGGACTTTTCATTGCTCATAGCTTTTACCAAAGAACTTTAGTTCCTTTTTAGCTGTTCAAAAACACTTATCTGTGTTTGTTTAGAATCTAAGCATTCCCTGGAATCAGTACACTTAATATCATGCTAGACGTGCACTTCCAAGTTGGATTTTAAAGCATATTATGCATTAAAACCGATAACTTCACATTTTAAACCGCTCATAACTTTTTGCAGACAGATAACGGTGTCGCAGATACGGAAGACAGATTTGGAAGCAGCTCATCAAGACGCATCTAATGGTATGCGGTTCACTCCAATTCGCCACCTTAAGTTGGGATCGTTCCCTTGTAAGGCATAAGACATACCTCACGCGATTTCAGTCGTTGCGCGATTTGATTCCGGAACGACTGCTTCAAAAAAAGCGATGAGATTGTGTGTGGAATGTACACTGATGTCCACGCCTTTGCCCCCCCCCCCTTCCACAAAAATTTTTCATTGTTTATGGTAGTTTCATCTGTTAACTAGTGCAAATGCATTTTTCTCATATTCACAAGAAACAAGGGTTTCTCAATTGAGAAGTGTATAACATGCAAAAGTAAGCTTTTCCAAGCGCAGTCGTTTCTAGACAATAGAAGACAAAAAATACAAGAAGAATAATAATTTGCTCTCATGGCTAACCACATCCCAGATGCATCTACATACACTAGCAAAAAAAATTGTTTGAGTATAACAAATTCTGCATATTTTTCAGAATCTCTTCATATATAATAACTTCATCACAGCATCAAGATACCCATGTGAGAAATGAAATTTTCGTGCTGCATAGTCGTAAAGTAACCTAAACAAGAAAGAAAAAAATACAAGAATTAGAGAGAAGAGAGAGAAAGCGAGGCTCCGGTTCCTGCTATCATGAATAACCCCTCGTATAACCGACTCTTTCGAGTCTTTCCAAAAATTGGCAGGGAGGGGGCCAGCGCCCATGTGGGCAGTCGGCACCTTTTCGGGCCTGCTGGCAAAACACCACCTTACGGAGTGAGGAAGAACCTCGATGTTCTCAGCTCATCCCAGGGTATAAACCCCAGTGTTCTATTCTCTCCCAAGCCTCCCGACGGATGTCGGTTCGCCCCTCCCTGGGTATGCTTTGAAAAGCACTGCCCGCATTTGCTCAGTGAGCACAACCCCGTTTCAAGCACCGTACATTTTGCTAGGTTTTACAGGAAAGCTTCTATCGCAAGGAGAGTGCAGGAGGTCATTGACTTCCACGCTATTACATCGAATTAGTTGGCAAAATGTAACCTTTCTGTCTTTCTTGTTGCTTTGAACGCAGAATCACTTGGAATAGAGTCGCCTTACATGTAATAGTGCAAGATTTAATTCATTTATTTATTTATTTACTTATGCGTTACACTCGAAGGGCGCCAACAAGAACTAAATGAAGTTGTAAATCACAATTACAGTGTAGATAAAATAATTTAATAAATAACTGAAGTACTCGCGAATTTTTTTCTCCTGTGATTCGCTTCGACAATTCCATGGAACGAGATCGGATAATGTTTTAAAAGAACGAATTCGACTGTAAATTGATTCCTGGCAACAGACTATCCACAACTTGAGGCAAGCGGCTACCCGCTTATAGGCAGTGTCCGAGCAAGAACTCGAATTTTAGAAAATTCACTAACCTCGATTTATCCGCAACGCTGAATTCGAAAATCCACATTAAAAAGAGCGACAACGGGTAGAGCATGCGTTTTCCAAAGCTTGACATTTTGAATCAGGACGTTCCCCACGAAGGCTCAGACGCAGAGTCGCTGCGGGACTCTACGGGTTCAACTGTGGCGGCATGCCGTACATTGACTCAGAGCAGGGAATCCACAGGTGGAGAGGCCCGCGCCCAAGGCAAAAGTTTCCTTCCCAACCGTTCTTTTAGCTTTTGGTCGAACTTTATGACAACGCATTTGCGCGATGCATGTCCAAGGTTCAGTTCTGCATGACACTAAAATCCCGAAAACCCCACCTCGTCCGAACTCACATTTATTTCTGCCTATAAATTAAAATGCTGTTTTCTGCTCATTTCATTTCATGCTTATTTGCTCAGAACAATCTAGTTAGAACTCGTGATCGTTCCGTAGATGACTGCGTTTGGAGACTCACATGTTTAGAGTGTGCAAAACTTCCGGCTAACGTTGTCCGCTCCAGTCAAAGTTAAGAGTTAACTGGAAGAGACATAGGCGAGTCTCGCACGCAGAGACAGGTACCCCCACTGCGGACTTGGTTGGCGTCCCTCAGACATCGAACGCACATTTATTTCTCAAACCTCTGCTCTTCTGAGCGTGTGCTATCTTGATGGGACGCAGCCAGTTGTTGTCTGCCATGAATTGCCCCTACCATGTGATTTGGAACCTTTAATTGTGTTTTACGAATGATTATTGTAAGAAACGAGACCTCTTTACGAAGTTTGACTTCGGGTCCCTGGATGACGCTGAAACTGCGACGATGAACAGCACTCTCTTTAAAGAACACACAAAATGCTTATGCGGCGACTTCCAATATCGTTACTATTGAGGAATGATTACCTATACTAAAAATAGTTTTAACCAATGAGTCCTGATTTTCGAGTGTATGTGGAAAGAGAAAAGCCGATGAATTTTAGGGAACCTGCTTTAACTGCAATTTCAGAATCTCATTTACACAAAGGATTGAAGAAAATTATGGGTTCCATATTCGGTGTAAATTTTTGGTACGCAAGTAAAGGAGATAGTACATGCCATGTAGGTGTATATATAAATACTAGCATGAAATGCTGTTTACAGATATATAGAGGTTTTATCAAACTTCAAACTTGCTCAGAGCCATCCTACTGTGCTGGATAAAATTAAATTCTCCATGAGAATCAGCACACTTTGTGTTCTTGTTAATGAACCTATCCTTTGCTGTTGTATATGTCAGCCTACTATTGTTCTATTGTACTGTTTCAGTGTCATTATCTACCTACTTAAGACTGTTAGTATGAGTAATTTGATTAACAAAGCGCTTTGCAAAAATGGAAAAGCTCGCACTGTCACAGGCACCGTCCATCCGAATAAAGGATGATGAGATTTTGATGCTATATAACAGGGGGCCCCTAACCAAGCAATCGCCCAAATCTCACTGCAAAAGATGAAATCCATAACGAGAAAACCGCTCCAGAAGGTAGAAGCAAACACGTCGGCTTCGCTAGTCAACGTGGTCTGGTGATCACCTCTCAAAATCTCATCAGTCCAATTTCAGATGGACGTTTCTTTCAGGGTGGCTGCACACCAATCCACCTGTGTCGTTTGACCACTACTGCAATTTTTGACTGAAAAAATAATTTGTAAAGGAGCCACTTCGATAAACAGTTGGTTTACTGTGTTTTCAAACTATCCAATTTGGATGAAAGTTATGAGAACCGTTGACTCTTCTAGAAGGAAAGGGAATAAATTTAGATGAAGCTTGCTTTATCGCTGGTACTGTCAAGGTCTCTACCATTCACAGAAAGATGCCCATTTAAAGTTTAAAACTCGATTTCTGACTCCCAAATTGTTCTCTGATGTGTCCAGCAAGTCGGCCTACAGTAAACTTGTATGCTAACAATCGCTAGCCTAATTATCTTGGTTACTCCATGGATTTCATTCAAGAAAAAATGAATGAAACAGCTTGCACATGGGTCTGCTCAGACCAGAATGTCAAAAGGCAAACTGCTTCATTCTTCGATATCTGGGATACGCGGGCGTTTCTGTGAAATAAAATAACTACTTTTGAAAAATTACATCATGCAGGAAATACAATATCAAACTCAAA